TGCAGCTCACTTGTGGGATGTAACCTTGTCTTTCATTGCATTGCAGGTAAGAAGTCATGTGCAGAGCTAGCAGGGTACTTTATTTTTTCTTAACTCATTTTATAAGGTCAAAGTGAGAGAACCTCAAACAGACATTTGTATTGGATTGGGCAAAAGAATGCAGTGCTCAGAGTTAATTAGCTCTTTAGGAATGTCATTTCTTAGAATGAAAAGGAATATAATGATATATTGTAAAGATTATGAAGGAAGATTGGTATGTATCAGGGATATTACTTTAACTGAAAAAACCTCAGAAAAATGTCCTAGTTTCTGTGTAGTTCCAAAGCTCAGTATATGGAACAAAACATCCAGGGGAATTAATTACTTTTTTGTTGAGGTTTTTTGTGAGCTTTTTAAATCCCGAGGAGACCTATGTGCAGGAACGCTTCAGTCATCTATACACAGAACTACATAAAGTATCATTAGAGACCCCTCCAAATACATCGATTTTTTTTTTTATCCAGCAGCAGTGTATCAATATTTTAACTACTGACAACAAGATGTAGACTTCATTGTGAAGTATTTTCCTGTGGGTAACTAAACCACTGTGTATCAGGGAAAATAAATAGTTGCCTCCTCACATCTTCTGCCTATGCAGAAAGTGAACTCCTCACGTTGCCCTGGCCGAACAGCATTGGTAAGAAATGTAATGTACTACTCCCTTCTCCCACCAGCAGCTGTCTTATCTAGCCCCACTTCACATTGTCTGAGCTTTTTTTCTTTCTTTTAGCCCCATGACGGGAAGACTCCTGAGCTTTCCAGGCCAGGACCGTGGTCATTTCCAGCCTCGCATTTATTCATGGCTGGGTTATACCCATTTGTCCCTGCGCCAACATCATAATTGGATTAAATAGCTTTTCTACCTGGCATTTATCTCATAGCAACCACCTTCCAGCCCAGCCATCATCTAGCCAGACTAAACAAACAAAGGTTTTTGGGCACAGGTCTCCAAGGGGGCGAGAAGTGCCGTCAATATGCTGGACATCCTCCTAATTGGACCCCAGTGAGTGGTTATGTTCATGCACTGGGCTGCTCCAAATTGGGTGTGGAAATGAGCTCCCATCCCAGAAGATCTTATGACCAGAAGCTATAAAAGTATACCTTGAGCAATGAAGTCATAGAGTTTTTTTTTCTCCACCTCCTATCTGGTTGTTTTTTTTCTGAACATCCTTTTTAAAGTAGTTGTTCAGCCAATAGGGTGTAAAGTCTATTCCTACAAGTCTCCTGGCGTACAACCAGCTGATACTATTAGCACTGTTGACTTGAAAAGGAAGTTAGGCACATCTACACTAAAGGTCCTGAGATCTTCCACTGGTTTGTTTAATTAATTTGTCCTCTTGAAAAAAAGAGCCTTAATTATAAGATTATTTTTGTTCCTACTTCTATTTACGTTAAACTAAAGGAATGCACTTCCTTCAGGCCAAAGTAGTTTTGCTCCTAACTGTCCTTCTGGAATATCTTAAATTACTTATCAACACTGATCCATTGCTTGCCAGTTTGGTGTTTCTCCAGTGCAGAAATCTGCCATCTCCCATACAGAAATTATTTGAGCTCTGCAAGATTAGTAGCAATTTTTACTATCTATATCCAGAGAGTTTAAGGTACTCCATAACGATATGATTCCCCAGTAGTATTTATATCCCAAGCAGCACTGCAGAGTTGCTACCACAACCTGGGAATCTAAAACAAATCCCCCCAAGTATCTCAGGAGAATCTCTTTCATGATCATATTCAAAAATGAGTTAGACCTAAAGATTCAGGCTTATCCAGCCTGGCCCTCCTCATGCCCGTGCAGTTGTTTTCATCATGAGCACAAAATATTACCCATTGTGCCTTTTTTTTTTTTTTCCCAATAGCTCTTTCTCTTCTCAACTGCTCTTTCTTCTCCACACCTGTGCCCCAGTCATAAATGCTGTTCCACAGTGTTTTTCTTACCCTACATCATTTGGTTTCACAGCTTGTGGAGGAAATACATGTTCTTCCATTGTACTGCCCAGCCCTCAGTCATTATTAGACAAGAAATCCCTCCTGCTCATCACACCTTGTTCACAACTTGGATTAGGAGCACTCCTTTCATTACGCTGCAAATGACAACGCGGTGTTATTTTGCTTTCCTGAAAGCCATTAATCCGTTAATCTGAGCTACTTAGGGCCATTAGAAATGGAAAAGCAGCTCAGTTCTCTTCTGAATTTGCTGCAAACTCTGACTTTTTAAACCTCTCACCCTCAGACTGTGGCTGTCCTGGGAGCATGGTGGCAACACGGGAGTTACCATACGGTAGCAGCCTAAATGATGAGGGTAAGTGTTGTGTATACACCGTCCACTGCACGTCGTGTGTGACACTGTCGTCCATGAATGAGACTAGATGTTCACTAGAAGGGTATAATAACTTTACCTCCATCTGGGCTTCCACCTTCTCAAGCCCCTGAGCAGTGGATCTCTGCCAGCAGACACCTGGGGTGCTGCGTTCACCGAAACCCGTGATGGTCAATGACCTGGGTCATTGACTTTCCTCTGGCAGGGATTAATCATGTGAGATTTTTTGTGTGTTTTATCTATCAGTTTTTTCAAGGGGATGTTGAGTTTTTATTTGTTTGTTTGTTTGAAGTCAATAGGCACAGTCCATTTGGCAGAGATCATAAGACCCCAATGCAAAAAACCAGCAACAAGCTTTTGCCCCTATTTGGTCTTTTTACAAGTATTTCCAGAGACTATCCTTACCCTTAAAAATGACCCAAACAGGGCAAGGATTGAAGTTTATTTTTACCGACGATGGAGACCCCTACAGCAATTCTATTTCCTGAATCTACTGTATGAACCTGTTTCCCAACACGGTGAGTCAGGAACATTTGATGTCCAGTAAATTCAAATTTCAAGACTATGTCAAAATGTGCAAAAAGGAACCCTGGAAAAACAATCACTGCTGTGACAAGTTCCTGAATGGGAAAGCACCTATTTAATTGCAAGCTCTTTCAACATCCCTGAATGAAGCAAGGCAGGACTCGACAAAGGCTTGCATAACTACATCATGAACTTGCCTGTTCATGTCAAACTAAAGTAGACCGTGTTTATTACAGAAAAATCTGCTACTTAATCATCTCTGAAGGTCGTAGCAAAGGTCAGGCAAAGGTGAAATGAGATATGAATGCTGCTGAGGTAAGTCAGATGATGGCTCTCAGAACATGTCTCGTATTTCCATGTGGGCTGAAACCCACTTATCAGTCAACCCAACATCAGTTGCAGCAACATCCTTGGAGACACGAGGCACTGAGATGCTAAATATTTATAACACCCGGTTATTAGTACCCAGTGCAGTCAGTAAACAGCAGCTGTGCCAGCGGGAAGGGAACTGCTCACTTTAGTTCTGAATGAAGCCCTAAAGGTGCTGTAGTGTAGAAAGCCAACCGTATCCTGGGCTGCATCCAAAGCAGCATGGGCAGTAGATCAAGGGAGGGGATTCTGCCCCTCTACTCTACTCTTGTGAGACCCCACCTGCAGTGCTGCCTTCAGCTCTGGGGCCCCCAACATCAGAAGCCCATGGACCTGTTGGAGCAGGTCCAGAGGAGGCCACAAAAATGATCCGAGGGCTGGAGCACCTCTGCTGTGGAGACAGGCTGAGAGAGTTGGGGCTCTTCAGCCTGGAGAAGACAAGGCTCTGGGGAGACCTTCTAACAGCCTTCCAGAACCTAAAGGGGCCTACAAGAAAGATGGAGAGGGGCTTTTGACAAGGGCATGTAGTGATAGGACAAGGGGCAATGGCTTTAAAGTGAGAGAGAGTAGATTTAGGTTAGATATAAGGAAGAAATTTTTTACAGTGAGGGTGGTGAGGCACTGGCACAGGTTGCCCAGAGAAGTTGTGGGTGCCCCATTCCTGGAAGTGTTCAAGGCCAGGTTGGGTGGGGCATTGAGCAATGCGATCTTGGGGAAGGTGTCCCTGCCCATGGCAGGGGGGTTGGAACTAGATGATATTTAAGGTCCCTCCCAACCCAAACCACTCCGTAATTCTATGATTCTATCCGTGCAAACCATAGAGCCTTCTGCCCTAACGTTATGGCCACTGACAAACACAATCCAAGTAGCCCAACTTTTTCTCCACCATGATAATTTTCTCTTAGCACGTCTGTACCTCTAGGATGCTATTCCTTTTCTGTACCATCCTTCCAGGAGAACCATCACAAAATTTGTGTTTTCCCTTTGCTTGTGTCTTTTTGCCAACTGCTGCAGAAGGGCGGGTGCTGTTTTTATTTGTGAGCCATAAGCTGGTGTTTTGGAAATGGTGGTGCTGCTTACAGTTGTGGAACGACAGTATTTCTCTTACAAAACGCCTGGCCACAAGCCAGCAGCCAGGGTGGGCTTCTAAAGCCTTTATAGGGAGCAAATTCCTGCCTTTGTTAGAAGCTGCTTCTGACCCATCACAGGCAGTGCTTGCTCTTCACGACACATACAGAAAGAAAGATATTTTAAACAAAATCTTAAATTCTGTCAAAGTTAATTCAGCTGCCAGAAAAGATCTTGTCATACAGCACAGGAATAACCTTTTCACTTCTCGTTCCCTTTTGCAAACCAACTCTGACACCTGCTTTGGGATTTACCTTTCATCGTAACTTGGTTTTATTTATTTTGGTGGAGGAGCCCAGCAGCATTACTCAATTAGAAGTCACTTATTACTTACTATTATAACAGAGAAACTCGCCAGAATGCCTGGCAATGTATATATATAAAATAATTTGAACCTGAAACAGTTCAGCCAGGCATTTATCTATCACATGAATCACATTTTTCAGATTAGCATACTTTGCTACCTCTGCCTTCTGCTCCTCCTCCTTCGTGACAGAAGGACAGCCCCTAAGTCATATGACTGCACACAGAAGATTACATATTGCAAAATGCTCCTATTTCCCACAGATCTGGGACAAACACAATTGGGACAGAACTCAAAGCTGACCAGAGAAGAACCAAAATGAACCTTCTTCCCTTCTTCTCTTTGGAGACCTGGGCCCTTTTGCTTATTTTCGTGGCCCTCCTGGTAGTGTGAGTAAAACATTCTTTATTGGTTCTTTGCTTGTGCCACTTTCCTATTCTTGCTTCATTTTCATGCCACTAGTCTGCCAAAGAGCAAACAGGTAGGTGTGATTTCCAGATTTCCAGCCTCTAACACGTGATCTTGCTCAGAGGTTTGGAGTATTCCCGTGCGCTGTTACGGTCTTGCTGCTAAGCATCAAGGCAATAATCGAGTAACAAAGGTGCCAGGCATTCGTTACCAGCAAGGTACTGGCTTCAGTGAGGATTGTGATCTGTTAAGCTGTTTTCAATGGGAATACAGGCTAAGGAAGGCTGTGCCTCCCTGGCTGAGGTTGTCCTATGGAGGGGATTAGGCTGTAGATGACCCTACTGCATCACCTGCAAAGGTGGAGAGCAGCAGAAAGGCACCAGAAAAAGAGCATTCGTAGGATGAGTTTTAACTCCTCCTGGCTCCTTCCGTAGTGCCCAGGTAGGACACTCCATGTGTGGGCACCTGGACCAGGGGGGATGCTTTGGAGAAGCTGGATTTGTTGCACACCTGCAGTGACAGCACCCCATGACCGTTCCCACCGCCTGCTCTTGCTGGAGGAAGAAACAAGGTCCAGATCAAGGTCAGCTCCCTGCTCCTGGCTTTTCAGACAAGCTCCATCAGGCAGAAGCGTACCCCGCTGCTTCGGAGAAGCTGTGCTAGGGAGAAAATGCTTTTGTCCGCTTTGCTGCCGCCGTTGGGCGCCGTGGCATAGCAGGGCTGGCTGAAAACCCCCTTCTGCTGGGACACACCGCATCTCCGCTGGCAGCCCCTGCCAACCAGGCTGGACTGACAAACTTTGTAGTGTTGACAAGCCCTTAGGCAGAGACAGCATGTTGCTAGCCATAAACCTTAATGATTAATGCGCTGCACAGGAGCACAATCCATTTGTCTGCCCTGGCATTGCTCCAGCCGCAGTGGTTCAGTTAAGCTCTGAAACTTTCAGCCCTGTTTTTCAAACCCTTTCCTGTGATTTGGAGTGCTCAAAAGCCTGTTTGGGGTAGAGTCTTCAATCCCTCCCCCCCCCCTTATTGACTCGAACCCTCATATTTCAATAACTCTGTGGCAATCTGAGATGGCTGGTTACCACACTCCCACCTTCAGAAGCCGCTTGCAATTTTGTTGTGGCAAAAGAGAAGAAGCCCACATCCCTGTGCTCTGATATCTGAGCTAAAAAGAGGAATTTCACTGCCCAGTAGCACAGGGAGGTTGTTCAGATGCTTCTTGTCCATCTGGGCCAACGCCGTTCCCGTTCACACATGAAGGAGCATCAGGCATTTCTGGTTCACGTCCATGGTGAGAAGTAGTAACGATTATTCTCTGCCTTTACACTGAATGGTCCTTCTCAGCCTGCAGAAAACCATGGCACATTTTAGCCATAAAAGTGTTAGACTGCGTCTTCCTGGCCACGTTTCAAAAGGTTTAAGCCTAGCCTATGTTCCTATAGCATTGCTGGGCTTTGTAACCAGCCCAACCTGGCATTTCCTGGTCCCCCTGCAGCCCCAGCTGCCCTTAAACGTTGTGAATGAGAACCCACAAACACTTTATACCTAGTACTGAATTAACCTTCAACAGAAAAGGTTAAATATTGACAAACTGAGCTGTATGAAATTCTTTCTGCACCTGCAAACACCCTGTTCCCTGCTTTTTGCCCGCTCTGTTTGGTCCATAAGATGAGGTCCACTTTTGCGCTCTGGCAGGACCGATCTCATTTGAGGTCCCCCGGATTTAGGAAAGTATTACTAATTTCAAGGGAAACCCCTCTAAGTCTCTTGAGAGGTTGCTGCTGTGTGGCCCAAAGAGCATCTCTGATAACATCCCTGTGCCAAACCTCTGCCGTTTTACATCCCTTCTGCAATGAACCACTCACTTGGGAAGCTGCAGCTATTAACTAAAACCAAATATTCTGAGGGAGCTCTTTCAACATGGCCAAAGACAATCTTCAAAGGGCTGCAGTCCAGGCCCTTGTTGAGAAACAGAAGGCCCCGAGGTAGAAGTAATAACTTTACAGCTGCCAAAAAGGGTGCTTCAGAGGAAAGAAATCTGCAAAGCTGTCAATAAAATCTAAAGAGAAAACCATCAAGACGAGGCTTCCTGATGCACCACTGAGCTGACGCTGGGCTGAGGGGAGGCAGAACAATAAATGAAATTAAAGTGCAGCTTGACAAAGGCTCTGTTTGGGACATAACTTCTGGCGCTGCTTTGATTCCTCTTCAATAAAAACATGTAAGCTTGGTGTTCCTCCTTCCAGCTCCCTTTTCTGCTTCTCGTTTGGTCAGCAACGAGCTCCTCTTTTGGCTTCTGCTGAAGGCTTCAAGGTCCTGTATCCAACAGAGAACCTATGCCTTTAGGAGACGCCTGGTTTTAGGTCACTGTGGTGTCCCTGAAGCTCTGTGTGGCAGCAGCCAGCCTTGCTGGGTTTATTAAGTACTTTTTAAAGGGAAATTTTCATTTGGGACACTTTTCTCAAGCTCCCGGACTGACCTCCTCTACTACTTAGAGCCAAAGGGACATCGCTGCAGTCTCTGGGCTTAGGAACGCTCGCAGCCCCAGTGCCACGGTGATGTAGCACTCAGTTCTCTTTTCTGTCCCACAGATATGGGACCTGGCCGTTCGGTTTATTCAAGAAGTTGGGTATTCCCGGGCCGAGACCTCTGCCTTTCTTTGGGACGTGCCTGGAATATCGCAAAGTAAGTGATGGAAGCCTTCCTGGCTCCAGAAATACCCACCTTTGCTCGTACAGCTGTAGCTAAACAGATACAAGGCGACGATAAGTTATCTCCAAATGCCAAGCTCTGCTCCAACGCACGGGTTGTGCAAAAGCCAGTGCGGGGTAAGGGCTCAGCAACACAGAGCACGGGGCTCTGCCTTTACACCATCTTCAGATGAGCTCTCATGGACGGCTGATTTACAGCTGCCCTTTGCCAGGGTCCTGGCAAACAGCTCGTTCACAAGCATGATAGATGTTTATGCTGTCCTTCATGATGTTTTTGGAGAGGAGGACGACTCAGGAGGCAGCTCTGAACATCAGTTTAGGGTTATTCCTCCCAACCCATCGTTTCCAACATCATCCCCTCTGCTGTGTCTTCTCTGAGATAATTTTAAAGTTGTTTTCCACAGGGTTTCTTGGAATTTGACAGTGAATGTTTCCAGAAATATGGGAAAGTCTGGGGGTGAGTATGAACCACTGATCTCTTCTGAAGGTAAAACTAGAATTCATACAAAGGGGAGAAACAATTAATTAGGAAAGGTCCCTTTTCTCTACCTGCACCCCTGATGGTCCCAGCACAGTTACAGCAACAACAGGGCGCTGCGGTGGCTTATGTTAAAGCCTGATGATTGCAGCGCTGTGCCACTGTCATGCCATATGGAAATTGCTTTGACCTATGCTTAAAAGCTGTTTTAAAGTTGATAACAAAAGGCCCTCACCTGCTCCTAACAAACTCAGCAGCAAAACTATTTACTTAGAGGAGAATCTGGAACTGGGAGGTCGAGTTCCTCTGGTTTATCAACAGCAGAGGAACGTGAGTGAACTCCCAACAGCGAGTGAAGAAGCAGATTCAAAGTCTACAACTTCCTTGTGCCACTGGCTTTTATCTCTGCTGTTGTAACTTGGGCTACAAACGTGCATATCCTCCATAATGCATTCAGTGGTCCCTATAGCAACTTTAAAAAACGGAGTGTGGAAAAGGTATCTTTACATAAATGGGGAAAGTGTGTAAATCCGCTTAGTCTACTTCTGTTTCAGGAAAGCATTCAGAACTGGCAGCTTAAAAAGACAAAAACAAGGATCGAGTTTTATCTCCAAGGATATTTCAGTGCTGTCAGCCCAAGTCTCCAGACACCCAATTCAAGAGCCTGAAAGGGGTCGAACAAGTTTCCTCCTAATACTGTAATGTGTTCAAGTGCCTGGAAAACCACAGGGAGTCAGGGGAGAAAGTGAAGACACTTGCTTCATTTAGTATCTGGTCCTTCGAGGGACTGAGCCCTGCTCATTTCCCCGTGAATCTGGAAGGTGTTTAGCCCCCTTTCTCATTTACAAAACCAGAAGGGAGAAGGCCTGGGAGTCCTTTTCCATCTCTAATTTCTATATTTCTAATACTTGGGCATCTGCAGAACAGCAAGGCCAGTGACAGAGGAGCGTTTAATACATTTTGTTTCATGAGCATCAGCCAAGTCTTGCACCTCAACTACCTGTGGTTGTTTGTCTCCTCTTCTCCCCCCCTCCCAGGATTTATGATGGCAGGCAACCTGCGGTGGTTGTCCTGGACCCCCAGATCATTAAATCTGTGCTGGTTAAAGACTGTTACTCCACCTTCACCAACCGCAGGGTAAGTGCAGAAGCATCGTGATGTACCACAGAGTCCAGAAAAAAAAGAACAGGAGGAGATGAGCATGTACCAGGGTTTTCCATCGGGGATGAGTGACTGCACTATAGGGACTACTGTAAATGGCCACTGTATGTCACTGTTCCCCTGCCTTACAGCCTGGGGACTGCAGAGCCAGGCTGGCAGAGGACGATATCTGCCTGCACATCAGACAAATTCTGCTCTTACACCTATATACGCATATATAGAGAAAGAAAAAAAGAAATTTGAGTCGGCAGGAGCAGGAATCTGTCCAGCCAGCACATATACCACCCTGCAGCTTCCAGCTGGGACACAGAGCCTGGGTGCCACGGTGAGGGGTGGGCGTGCATGTACACATGGGCATTGGGCTCATTGGGTTACTTGTTCTGGATATGGAAATGGCATCTCACAGCTGGTTTACTGCAGGAAAGGGGATCATTTATGTAGATGTGTCTTGAGAGAGGCTGTAAGGCCTTAACCTGCTGCCAGTAATAATACCCCTGAAATATCCTGGGCAGGGGCTTACAGGCTACATTCCCATCCTAGCAAGGAAGCTGCTGTCTTTTCTGGGGTTAACACCTTGCCTTTTTCCCCCTCCAGCATGTAGATCTAGTAGGGGTGCTGCACGATGCTGTCTCATTAGCTGAAGATGATCAGTGGAAAAGGCTTCGTACTGTGCTCTCTCCAACCTTCACCAGTGGGAAACTAAAGGAGGTAAAACACAGAGGAGCAGGTACAAACTAAATTAGAAAGTCAGCAGACAGTGTTTCCAGGCTGAGATTGTCACAGGGGTCTGATTTCTTTAGTCAGAGCCTGGCAACTAAGCTGGCCTGTTTAATTTATGCCTAATTTAAAGCAAAAAAAGGATTCAAATAAAAATTTAGCAGAAAGATGGTATTTGTAAATATTCATGAAACTCCCTGTAGTCTTCGTAAGCCTGTCTTAAAGGAGTAGAATGTACTATACTTAAGTGTCCATCTCTGGTTTGTGTTACAGATGTTCCCTATAATAAAGCACTATGGGGAAGTTTTGGTAAAAAATGTTCAAAAGCAAGTGGAAAAGAACAACGCTCTGTCTGTGAAGGAGTAAGTAGCTGCTAAGAGCAGCAGGCTAAGCAGCAAACCTTGTTAGCAAAGTGCTGTGGTTCATTCTTTACGGGCAATGCAGATTACTTGCTGAGTGAAGCAGACCTTCAGAAACGAGGAACAGGGCTACCTGAAAGTCTGGCTGGAAATTTGAAATGGAAAAGTTAAGCTAGGATGTTAGTGAAATGTCCTTGAGGCAAAGACCAAGACAGAAGCCTTCTAAAGGGGATCAGATGGGGAGAAAAATGCTCCAGCACAGCTTTGTGAATCCACAGATCCCAGATAATCCCAAATCCACCAGGAAAACCCAGTCTTCCCTGCATATACTCAGAATCTCTGTGCAACACCTTCTTATATTGCAGGACCCTGGGGCTGCTGGCCTCTGCCCCACACACAGCACTGGGGGATGCTCACCCATCACTTGCCCCATTGCTGGGGGGAGTGGGGAGGGAGGCTGTAGTGTGGCTCTGGGTATGTCATCCTCATCTGTGCCCTCCAGATGGGCTCTGGAACAAAATCTGTGTATTTCACCCCCATTTTCCAAGCATAGATGCAGAAGCAGCAGCTGCACAGCAGTAGTCACGCATCAGCAAAGCTGTCCCCTACCAAAAACCCTATAAAGAGAGGATTTGGGCAGTTTGTAATATTATAGCATTGTGCTGGGTTGAACAAGACCATTTCCATGCCATGTTCAAAGTGAGATGTGTTATCACCCCTCCCCAAGAAGCTAATGTGCTCAAGAGCCATGTGCTGTACTTGCACTAACCCGTTCGTGTAGCTACGCACTTCTGTTGGGTTTGCGTGGGAAGGTTGTGGTGGGTGGGGGCTACAAGGACCCATGGTGGAGCAGCTCGTGAAGAGCTGCAGCCCGTGGGAAGGACTCACGTTGGAGAAGTTTGTGGAGGACTGTGTCCCATGGGAGGGACCCCAGGCTGGAGCAGGGGAAGAGCATGAGGAATCCTCCTCCAGAGGAGGAAGGAGCAGCAGAAACATGTGAACTGACCACAACCCCCATTCCCCATCCCCCTGCACCTCTGAGGGGAAGAGGTAGAGAAATCAGAAGCAAAGTTAAGCCCGGGAAGAAGGGAGAAGTGAGGGGATTTAGTTTTTGTTTCTCATTATGCTACTCTGATTTCATTTGGTAATCAGCTAACTTCCCCAAGTCAAGTCTGTTTTGCCCGTGACAGTAATTGCTGAGTGATCTCTCTCCATCCTCATCTCGACCCACAGCCTTTCATTATATTTTCTCTCCCCTGTCCAGCTGAGGAAGGGAGTGACAGAGAAGTTTTGGGGGGCACTGAGCACCTAGCCAGGGTCAACCCACCACACTGCTGTTTTAAAATCCTCAGAAAAGCTGTCCGATTTCAAAACCCTTGCAGGCTTAAAACCAAAGTGCTCTCACAATCTATCCCTTTCACTGTAAGTGCTTTAGAGTTACCATATATCCAACTTCCTTTTCAAAACCAGGGCATGAGCTCTTATCAGAATTTATATTTGAATGTCACACAGGCATTAGGAAAAAATAGATTCACTTGGTCTAAATATTTAACCACAGTTTGTCTTTTCCATCTTTTCTCAGGATCTTTGGAAGCTACAGCATGGACGTCGTCACCAGCACTTCATTCGGTGTGAACATTGACGCTATGAACAACCCCAAAGACCCCTTTGTCAGAGAGATGCAGAAGCTGGTCAAGTTTGACTTTTTTGACCCACTCTTCATCTTGTCATGTAAATGACTTTTTTGTTGACAAGCCATTTCAGGTGTCAGAATATCATTGAAGTGTGACTTTAGCAAGCATATCAGAGACTGGTGCATCCTATACCTTAGCCAATCAACTATTGCTTAGATAACTTCACTAGCTAGGATGGAGGTCCTAATGGGTCCAAACTTGTTGTTAAAACTCTGGAAAAGAGATGGGTAAAAAATTCCTTCACCTTTGGCATTCATAATGAAAGAAATATACCAAGCAATATCCAAATAAGTGACAGAAAATGATTCTAGGATTGAAAGGCAACTTCAGCTGTGATGCTTGAGGAGAGCAGCGCTATCCAAAAATGTGTTTTCTGGAAGGCAGCATTGAGCAGGGACGGTAATTAGATGCAATTTCCTAGCAGTGCAACAGCTTAGCGGTGATGGACCTTAAATCACTTGCAACCTTAAATCAAGATTTGATACCTTGCTAAAACATGGGGAAAGTTGTGATCTGTGCCTAGAAGAGGTTCTGGTGCTGTAGATTTTATGAATCTATACACAAGCTCAAGATCCAGTCTCTGTGATGAAGGAAATGCTCTGAAGGTAACTTGAAAAATGTCTGTATGAGCATAGCATGGCAGTGAATAGCTCAGCCTGAAAAAAGAATTCAGAGTTTGCAATATTTCTCATCTGAGTCACATTTTTGCTGTAGTGCTGCAAAATGCACAGGAGTAACCTGTTTTTAGAAAGCAGCTCCTTGGAAAAAGAAGGTGGCATATGCTTTGGTCATCTCAAACTAAAGATTATATCCAGCTCAGTTGTGCCCAGTTAACAGGAACTTGGGAGAA